CTACCCGTCATAAAGCATGAAGCACCTGCTTTAGAAAGAGGCATGGAAGGGTGGGAAAAAGTAGAAAAAGAGAGAGATAAAGGGCAGAAAATAAAAAGAGAAGAGGCCCATACCCTATTATTAGAAACTCTCTAAGAAAATGAAGGAAAATTAATGCAAGATAATTTCAAGTTTCACTTGGTTACAACGCATTTAGTAGACATCTAAGTAAAATTAAAAAGAATAGTAAATTAAGAGGTCCAACATTGTTACGTGTGTGGTGGGAACATAACAAGAGGATTACACATGGTAAGAGGGTTAGCACCATAAATATTGCTTTTGTATCGAACAAGCTTTCGTTCCAAAATCGATGCTTTTGTCTGGTGCATGCTCCATGCCAGTAGCAATGGGAGCTTTGAAGCATAGGAAGCATGAAGGTGGGTTTTTTTTTTTTTTTCGTTAAAAGAAATTATTTATAAATATTACATAGTTTTATTGCATGAAAAGACGATTATAAGGCAGCAGGTCAGGTCAAGGTCAAGGTCAGATCTAGACCTGACCCGAAGTCACCGGACCCAGACCTAGACCCGGAAATATAATGGGGGACCCGGATTCAGACATGGACCATACCCAAAAATTAAAATATCTATGTATTTAAATTGAAAAATTTGAGACTTGGACCCGGATCCAAATAGTGTTCAAGTCCAAGATTTGAAACCAAACCCGACCTACGGAGTCCAATTTTTTGACCCATACCCGGATCTGGATCGGATCTACCCGTCTGGTGTGGGACCATTGCCACCCCTACAAGACATCAAAATAACAGGCTCTCATAAATTACCAGATTCTATAAAGCAAACCCTCCCATGGCTAGACCATCTACCAATTCATTGACCACTCCACACACGTCTCAAAGAAATCACTATCATGCTAAAATAAATCCATAATTTGCTCAAGCCCAAATTTCTTGCGAATTGGCGCATGTTATATTGCTCTAAATCTATCCCCCTATGAAGCGGCTAATCCTTATCATTTATCATAATTTAAGATGGAAAAATATATAATAAGGTGCTTAAAGTTTATTAACTTTTTTTTTTGCAAAATTTATAGCACATTTTTAGCCACCTAATTTTAGGTCTGATGATTAACAATGATATTCTTGTAGCACAAGTAAATGAGGTTATAATATACAATCCCATATATGAATGAATAATTGAAACCTAAAAGAGTATAATATATTTAAACGGAGTTTTGGTTTGTCATCCAATGTACTTATTTTATTTTTTTATTTTTTTTTGCCAAAATCCCATCTTACAAATCGATTTTGAACTTAAAATCTTACAATTTGATAGTTTCAATGACATAACATAATTTAAAAAAAGTAGATTTTAAAATTAAAATAGACTATTTTATTGATTTCTAACATAATTTGAAAAAGTAGATTTTAAACTTAAAATAGACTATTTTATTGATTTTTTTTATACTTTTTACTTCTCATCATCAAATATATGTTAATTTTTAGACAGCAAATGCCTCTAAAGTGACCCTGTTTTAGATCCTATCTTGAATATGGATTGGGGAAGGGACAATAGAATCTCCTTTAAATTTTCTATATATATATATACGAACCATGAAATCTTGCGCCAAAATCACAACCGCACATAAATACCACTGCACGTAAATAGGAATATAGGATATGATATCATCAAGGGCATCCAAATCTACGAATGAATAAAAATTTGGAAAAAGTTTATCGAGGGTCTAAACAATCAAATTAAAGCCTATATCGCTTATCTCAAAAATTTCATTAGAAGAGGTTGTTTTGATGCCCAACTATCCTCAAATTGATCATCTCGGCATCAAGATGCATGGGCATGAGAAAAAAATGGATTTCAAGTTTTGGAAATAGTGCACCTTGTAAAACAATTTTGTACAGTCAATTTTTAAGTTTTCATACAGAAGTTGGATGTATACTATTTTGAAGCTTTAAATTTTATAATTAAAGATGAGTTTTCATGCTTGATCTACACTATTTTTGAAGTTTTAAATTTTATAATTAAAAATAAAAATCTATTTTAAAGCTATCACAAAGATTTCAGTTTGAAAGCCACCTTTCTTGATACCATTTGAAGGTAGGCTCTAATTTGATTGTTTAGAGACTCGGCTCTATACAAACCTCACCCATATATAAACTCGGCTCTATACAAACCTCACCCATCTTATATATGTGTGCATTATCAAAATTTATCAGTAGGGCCTATGAAATCTTGCCCCAAAATCACAACCACACATAATCACACCGCCCGGCATCCAAATCTACCAATAAATATTATTTTTTCTTTAAAAAACAAACTCTCAATTTCTCAATTGCTTTTAGCCGTTGGTTGATGAGATGAACAGCTCAGATGAGATCACTCCAACTGTAATTAGAAAACGAGGGCCGTGGCAACCGTGGAAGAGCCCAGTGCTCCATCTGTCTGAAGCTTTAATGGCGCGTTCATGTATCCTGGGCAACGTTTAGAAGAGTAGATTAGTTTCAGAGGTAGTTTTTACTGTGTTTAATTCTCCAGTGTTGGGAAATTTTTGGAAGTGTAGAATAGTGTCAGAGCTCTTTTTTACTGTATTCGATTCTCCATTGTTGGTGGTTTTGGGTTCTGAGATTTTCAGCACACAGAGACAAATAGAAAGGAGAGAGAGGAGAGAATGGGTACTCTGATTTCCTCTGCGTTCGATTCGAACTCAGGGAAGGCGATGGTGGTGGCTGTGATCCTCATGATGGCTTCTTTCTACAGCGGCACTCTTTTCGGCAGCAAGAATGTAATCTCTACGCAGGATCCCTTTAAAAACACATCAGGTCTCTCTCTCTCTCTCTAGAATTATGTGCTCAATTCTTCAATTTGTCTCAAAACCATGCAAATCATGCTTAACTGGACCCTTTCATAGTGTCACTCTCTTCCATCATGGGGTTATCGTGAGTCATCTGATTATCTTTCTAACTCACCCATTTCTTCAGTTAGTCTCGAAATCCTAGAATTCCAATCCTTTACTTCTTTGTTTCTCTCTCAACCGTAACTTATAGTGGTGAACCATGAAACATTCACAATTTCGCTGCAGTTTAAGAGTTATAGTTGGTTGATGTTTGATTTACACAGCATTTTCAATTTTTTAGAAGAATTTTTAATCCTAGTTAGAAAATATTGTAAAAGGGAAACTAAAGATCATGAGTGATAAATGTCCAGTATTTTGAAATTCAATATTTTGGCTGGTTTTTGAAGAATTTCATGTTAATCATTCTTGAAATGTATGGAGGACATTGTGGCTGCGTGTTTATGTTTTAATAAGTGGCCACTGAATGCCTCCTGTAAAATGGAAGAAGCCTGTCATGATGGGTAGTTTTCCAAGTTGGCAAAGGATATGAAGAATAGTTGCTTTGCTGATGGTGCATTGACAATTTGGCCTTGCCCTGGTGAGCTAGTCGGACTCGCCCTATGGGTGAGGCCGAGTAGGGTGAGTTCTACTGCGACTCGCCTCACCCTTATGAATGTAGTAATAAAATATAAAAAACAGAAAAAATATAGAAAATTTGGTTAACACCACTATATTTGTTAGAAATAAGTTTTTTGATGACTTTGGTAGTTTTTAAAATGATTTGAGAACTTTCATTTTTTTTACCTTTTCTAAATTTTCTGAAATATTCGAAATCAAAAATCCTAAATCATAATTTTGAAAAATTCATATTTTATGGACCTCTTTCATCTTTTTAAGTTTCTAATGCTTTCTACTACCTTTTTTTATTTTTTTTCTTATTTTAACCATTTTAAAAAAAATTACCTTTTTTGTTTTTGACCTTTTCTGGTTGTACATGACATGACTGAGTCTGCTTAGACTTGGCCGAGTTACACGCCTCGGCCAAGGGCTGAGTACCTTGGTCGAGATGAGTTTCTGATCCTTGCTTCCATGTTTCCAATATGGAGAATGATTCTCTGCCAATGGTGTATTCTGAGAACATTTGCTTATTGATGAGTTGCATAGTCACTTTCCTTATGTCACGGAATTGAGGCGTATAAAACTGAAAATTATCCATGTGTCAGTTCTTATTCATTTATAAATGAAAAATTGGTTGAACCAAAGAAGAAGAAAGTATAATAATATAACTGAGTGTTCATGTGCATGGAAGCATAATGTGCAATAGCCCCAAGCTCTCCAGAGTAGCCCAAGTTGGCTAACTTTGATGTGAAGTTCACTTTCTTAGGACATGGGTTACACCAATCGCAGTAATAATGTTGGACTGTAAATCCATAACGTAGCAAATACTACACCGACATCTCCATCTGAAACCAATTGACAAAATTTCAAGGGATATCTTCATCGACCAATGATTTGACCAAAATGGAACTTCCTAGTGCAAACTGGACAGCAACCAAACGAGCTTAAGCTTCCATCCAATTTGAGTAAGCCGAGGATCTTTATTTGGATTTTAGCAATGGTGCTTGAAACAAGGAAACCTAAAGTTTGTTGCCCCACCATAGTCAGTATGAAGCACCCATATGATGGTACCTCATCATCATCCAAGCCTCATCCCAATTATTTGGGGTCGGCTACCATATGATGGTATCTCTGGACCTTACATAGTATCTACTCTTCATTCTTTGGGGCTCTAGTTAATAGAATGTTCCTCCCTATGAGTTTTGGACACCGTATCTTATAATACATGAGTTTGTTAATATGGGTGTTTTCTTTCTATTCAATTGCATGAAAACATTTATAGGTTACCAAAAAAATGAAAATGGTGTTTTAATCATGTCCACAGTCCCTATATTGCATCCGACCATCTGATGCATCTAAATACGGTGATCTTTTATCATCTCTTGGGCTTTGGTCTGGTGGTAGATACCCAGTTTGTTAGCAGGAGGTAGTGTTCAACCCTCGAGGCTTGTCCCAAGAAAAGCATACCAAGCTGACCTACTTTCTCTTAGGATCTCTTTTGATGTAATCAGCGGTTGAAACTTTTCATGATGTTGGTTGTTTGCCCATGTATATAGGAAGTGAGGAACTTCTATTGCCAAATAAGAGTATCATAGATTGCAATTCCTTTTGGACATAAAATATATATCTTCTCACCAGGTCCACGGTGCCTATACAAATGGTTTGGCTTATACGATCTAATGTTGTAACACGTTCCTCACCTATTCTTATGTGTTTTAGTGTTCAACCAAAGCAATATTTGTTACACCGTATGCTTGGAGCGGATGAGCAATGCTTACTAATTACCAGAGGCAGTATCCATACTATCACTTTTGAAGGCAGCTCTTATCAAGACTAGTGCTCATTATTTCCTGGTTAGTACAAAAAGAAAAAATAAGTACTGCTTTAGAAATAAGTACCTATCAGACGAGAAAAATTCTAGAAATATTAAAATCTTGAAGGCATGAATTTGTTAGTGCTGAACATCCCTTATTGAAAGCACACTTTAATATCTTCCTAACTTTCTAAATTATTATTATTTTGTAATATGTTAGTAAGAATTCAAATGACTACATACCACCATCCATATAATGACTAATGAGTGGAAAAGCAGGGCCTTCTCTTGGGAGACATGGTCCTGAGGTACTACATCTAGGAAGGCAGTGCTGAACTTGGTAAAAAGGAGGGAATTAAAACCACCAGAGCTTAAGTATGTAGGGGACTAGCTGCATGGATTGCTTCCATCAGAGATGACCGTAGCATTATCTAACATTTTGATGTTGATTCGAGGAGTCACATAGCATGGAAGTTTGCTTTGCTTATTATGAATTGGTTTGCTATGTGAAAGCAGATATTTTTTAGGGAAGTAGTGGAGTAGTGTATCCAACAGATGTATACCGTTTAAGACCTGTTATTCTTACTCTAAATGAACTAAGTTTGTACAATTTGGCACTTAATTTGCTTATGCATATTACATAAAATTTTTGATTGTGGTAATAGCTCTGACAATAGACCGATTAATAAAAGCCAATGCAAATCTGTTTGTTGCAGAAGCCAAATTTTCTGCTACAAACCACCAAATACTGATCACAAGATATCACCTTTAAATTTCTTGTCTGCTGCGAAGAAGCTATCAGTGACCAAATAGATTTACACTTAAGGATCATGAGACAACATTCGATATATTGTCGCTGTTAATTGCTGCAGTACATCATCTCTATTGAACATGAGAAACGATTATAATTAATTTAATAGTAACTGTATTTACTGTTGCAAGAGAACCTGTTGTAGTATATGATCTCTAAACCTTATTTGGTGCTTTATGATACGTGTATTGCCTTTTGTATTTTATTGTTTATCTTTATACAAGAATAATAACAACTGAATAATTAGTGATCTCCTTGGGGCAATTTCTCTCCTTGGAGCAATCTTGGGCTTCCACTACCATCTAGTTTCTATGCATAGATCTTGTTTTGGGTGCTGGTGAGTGATGATGCTGATATGTAGGTAAAATGAAGGTTCTAGAAATTGGACACAATTTGGACTCATTATAGACTGAAGCTGAGTTAACTTGGGACTCGGGGACTCAGCTCTACTAGCCTTCAATTTTAAAAAAAGAACTGAAAATTTTGTAATAAATGGAAAAATGTGAAGAATTATATACTCTAATACCAAATTTTTTCCCTGGTCTTTAGATAATGTGGCTTGGGCTATGTCATTTTTGTCTTGAAATGCCAAATTTATAGATTTATTTTATATCATCTTTTTGACAAATTTCAGAAACTTCTGACTATTGCGCTGTTAATGTGATTGAGGAAGTCTCCTCGCTTGACAAGTTGAATTATTTGAATGATTTAAAATTCATAGAATTTGTCATATCAAATAGGCCTTTTAGTTTTAGTGATACGTCACATATGTTTACATCTGATTTCATGGGAGATGATAGTTGTTCCACTATATACAGCTGCAGCTCTGAGCAATAGAGTGGTGCTTAAATACAGGCGAACACCAATCTTGATACCTAATAATGGGATGGACATATGTCCCTTAAAATACAATGAATATGTTCCTTGCCATGATTTGTCTTATACCAGTACTTTGCGAGCCAAGCTGGATCTCTTAAGGAAGGAGGATCTGGAAAGGCATTGCCCTCCACTTGAGAAGCGATTATTTTGTCTAGTTCCTCCTCCAGAGGACTATAAGATTCCAATTAAATGGCCAATTAGTAGGGACTACATTTGGCGTAATAATGTGAACCATACACATCTTGCTGAAGTCAAAGGTGGACAAAATTGGGTTCATCAAAGAGACAAGCTATGGTGGTTTCCTGGTGGTGGAACCCATTTCAAGAATGGAGCTCCAGAATACATTCAAAGGTAAGCTGTACTTTACCATCTTTTAGTCATTTCCCTCTCCATGCACATTTTGTTTATGAAGTTTCAAGACCTTATATGTGTGATTTTATGCTGATTGAGTGACTACTGCGTCTCAAATCACTCCAGTGGATATTGCCTGTTTGCCGCCCAATTTTAATAAATATTCTGTTGCATAACTGCATTAATATTGCTTTGGCTTGCAAGCGGGTACTACTTGTAATGCCTACATTTTCAAGTATCTTAGCTGATAGCTTAAGAGGGTCTTATTTGAAATGAACTTTTTAAAATTTTGTGGAGTCTTTTGCCAAGTGGATATTTTGCTAAACTTGGATATGGTCGATCATGTTAAGTTTGTAGGGAGGCCAATTTCCCTAATAACCTATAATTGAATAGGAAATTCAGTTGATAGTCAATATATCGCCTGGTAGAGAAATCAGTCAAAGCTTATCATTTTGATAAGAAGGGACAACTCATACTGGGCTGCATATACTGGCTGCAAGTTGTCTCAAGCTATGAAGCATGATGGTAAGGTTATATATCTGGGAAAATTTGCTGTTTGGCCAAAGAGGGGCTTAGCAAAAAATAGGTCCTTGAGGAAAATATTAGATTGAAGATCTGCACAATCAACCCATAAATTTAACTCTGTCTCAATTATAGCGTTAACTTGTCTCAATTATAGCGTTAACTTTAATTCTTATTTATTTATCTTTTCACTAGTAATGTTAACTTTCTTTTTAATACAATATTTTTTAGAGAGAAAGAAGAGAAATGTACATGTGCTTGTCAGTATACAAATTTGTGGTATACATGTGATTGTCGGTCTGACTGTCAGTAGACGAAAATGTGGTATGTCGATGTTTTGTATGAAGCTCCCTAAGGAAACCAAAAAACTCCTACTCGAGCCTAGGGCCTTGTGATTGTAAGATTGGATGAGGAACAGCCATGTTCCACAAGGGCGTTGGTTATCTAGTTTAATTTATGCAATGTACCCTACAAGGCACTTGAAATCTGCTGCCAAACTCAAAAATTTGGTCCAAGATGGGTTGCAGTGTCCAATGGCACAGAATTGATTTTCCCTCTAAATTTATGACATCTATCAAGTGTCCTTCAACCAACAGTGGGGAGCCTCAGCTGCAACCAAAAAGTTTGAGCCCACTGAGACCAGGGCTTCCGCAAGGATTGAGCTCCCATGTCCTATTGGGCCTGAAAATTGTAATGATGGTTTCAACTGAATCATTACGGAAGATGTCTCCAATGCCAGCCATGCCTGGGTTCCCAAGAGCGGAGCCATCACAGTTTAGTTTGACAGCACTAGTGGTAAGACTTCAAAGTAAAGATTTGTTAGTATGCATGGGCTTGGAGCAAAGAATGTTTTCCAGGTTTTGTTTGAAATAAGCCTCTGAAAAGCATAAAAAAACTCTTGGTGATACTGAACCTAGAAGATAATGGTGGCTTTGAGTCGGTTAATGGTTGCATTTGTGTGGCTCTCCTTACTTTTGAAGATCCTTCTGTTCTGTTCCAGCCAAATAGGACAAGCAGCCTACCATAAAACCAAGCCCAATGAAGAAAAGGAGGGAGGAGAAAGAGGAAAATACTTGGTCCACTGTTTTTGGCGTAGCACGGGCCTAACCAAACACATATAAATTGAAGCATAGAATCTTAGTGACCATCCTGCAATGAGTAAATAGGTGGTCAACAAACTCCTCTCTATCCTTGCACAACACTTACCTTTTGTAAGATGAAACCCCCCTTCATTGCAACTATTCAACCGTAGGATTTTTTTTTTTTTGGGATCTGACCATTTGAATGTCTGGACCTTAGTTGGGGACAGATGAACCGTGCTCTTGAGACTGCATAAGGGGCCGAGTGGGTGTGGTTACTTTGGGTCAGGTTGGAGTAGAAAAAAGAAAATCGAGGAGTCACCTGTAGGAGAGGGATACCGATCAAATTTGTCACTACCATTTCAAGGGATTGTTCAAGCAGGTCCAGCGAGACCACTAGGTGCAAAACTTTTTGTTTGGGAGCTTCCTTCTAAATTTGGAGGCCAAATGATTTGGTCCATAATTACCGGGATCCCCCAAGCTGGTGTCGCTCCAGTTCCTGAAGCTCGATTCTAGTCTGGACCAGGGATCTCGATTCTTGACGACGTTTTTGAATTTAGGGATCTTGATCCACAAAACTGGGGATTTAGGGATCTAGATCCACAAAATTGCGGATCTAGATCCTTAGTTCATGGTATCCAAATTTCTTTTAACCAATGGGCCCATGAGTAAGTGGAATTGAGCCTCCACTAACCTGGAATCGAGTTTCTTTTACATTGGTACCAAAGATCACCAGCACATTTCGAGTCTCATGCACTAACCTTACCACACATTCTTCTGCCACCCATCCTCTCTCTAACTCGCTAGCCCACTCTCTCCCTCTCTATGCAAGAGCATATTTCTCTAAAAATTCTGAAATCTGAATTGGCTTTTAGTGTAGAAATCAACCAATTGATAAACAGTCCTGTTGCCTGCAGCAGCCACTAGGGTTGAGTGCTTGAAGTTTGAATTTTGAACTTGTAAGTCACAAAAATAAACACCATAACATACAAGTTGATGCCATATTACGTTATGGAATGGAACCCGTAGATGAAGGGGAGCCGCTAAAGTTACGTAATGTCCTATCCTAAATCCTTTTCATTTCACTTAGTGGAATATCTCTGTAAGCTTTATACAATTGATCTTTGTCTTTAATGCCCCCTCATTGACCATATCCAATATTAGAGAGTCCTTTGCCGGTGGACTCTTTCTTTGTATGTGGACCCTTTCTTCCTCTAAATTTAGACAGCGTTTGATGAGTTGCATCCCAATCGCATGAAATCTAAATGAGGGAAAACAAGGACACTACATTTCCATCAAACACCAAAGCTTCTTTCATGCTCGAGGACTAAAATTTGAATCCTCATTTTGGGTTTTCAGTTCCACTTATTACTTATGAAACACCCTCCAATGATAAGAAAATTTAAAAATATTTTAGAAACAAGATTTTTGTATTTAATGATACCTTGATTTTAGAGTTCCAAAACAGCATTAATCATATCGAAATTTTGTTCCCGAGCTAGAGCAAATTACTTGGGGAGCATCGATTCCTAGCTGGATGGACCTCAATTCCGTGTACTTTATCATTCGATCTTGAACAAAATTGTATCACACACTCCCTTCATATTGGGATCACGATCCCTTTAACTCACGGTGATCTTTGTGCATTTCTCGATCTCGCTACCCTGATCCATCCGGGATCTAACCTCGCTTCCTATCTACATGGTTTGGCCATGTAGAGCCCCATTACATTGGGAGATCGAAGACCTGTAGCGATTGGAAACAGATTAGGAAATTCCTCTTCCAAAGGCCTCTCGCCCAACCAATCATCTTTTGAAGCCTGATTTGGTCTCCACTTTGGTATAAATCGGGTACTTTTGAACTCCAAAAAGGAGATTACCACTCCTTTCCAGGCTCCCAACACCCAGGCCCTGTGGTTGCTTTTGGGGATCCATCCAGATTTATGTAGTATGACCTACTTCCAAAGTCGTCCCTCTTGGATGGCAAAGCACCATGCCATTTGCTTAAGAGGGCTGTATTGCGATCAGAGGTCTTTCTTTTTCCTAGTCCTGTCTAATTTGGCTAGCAAACTGTTTCCATTTAGCTAAATGGAATATTTGCATCTCAATAGCCCCAATCCATAGAAAATATCTCATTAGGTGTCCTAATCTGTTGATGATAGCTCAGCATTCAAAACAGGCACATTTGGTACACCCGGATGTTCGACATGATGGATATGATGAGAGTTATTTTCCACCTAGGCACCTAGCAATGGAACCTTTCCAAGCAGCGAGTTTTGCTTAAACTTTTGGACCACCCCCCTGTTGGTGCTTGGAGGGTCTGCCTAAGTAATAGGCATGATCTAGGTGTTTTTTGAGGATGGTGTCCGTAACCCAACCAATCCTCCTCGCCAAGTCCTGGAAGAGGTCGGGGACATCAGGGCTGACCGCAACCCCTATTAACATGGTTTTACCCATGTTGATTTCCAGGCCTATGGTTAATTCGAAGCATCTAAGAAACAACCATAGTCTGTCTTTGTCAACTTGTTTGGTGCAAGCATTGAGGGTGTCATCAGCATATTCGAGGTGTGAGTTTGTGGGACCTCTCTGGGAAGTTGTGAAAGTTTTTTAGGGGCACTGGTTATAAGGTTCAAGATCGAAATATTGATAATTTCAGCGGCTATTGTAACAAAACGGGATAGTGGATTCCTCATCGGAGGCCCCACAATGAAGGGAAGAATCCTTGAGGGCTACCATTTATTAGAACTGACAAAAAGGGGGATGTGATGCAGTCCGAAATCGTCTTTCTCCAATTTTTGACCAAAGCCCGTTCTAGTACCTAGTCGAGGATTGTCCTGTCAAAATTGTCCATAAGCCTTTTCCCAGTCTCACTTCAAAACCAGACGTGAGGTTTTTGAGAGGTGCAGGGCCCGAATACATTTGTTAGCTATGAGTGCACTGTTAAGGATTTGCCTATCCTGAACAAAAGCCCTGAGTTGGGGATATGACAAGATGAAAAACGTTTAGGAGCCTAGCAGCCAAAACCTTAGAGATGACCTTGTATGTGCTATTGGTTAGACTTGTGGATCTGAATCCTTTCATCTCTTTGGATTGTTCTACTTTTGGATTATGGGAAATGAAATTGGAGTTCATTCCCCTATTGATGACCCCTTTGTGGAAAGATTACAAGAAAATAGCCAATAGATCAGGGCCAATGTGCTCCGGAACTAGTAATTACCTTCCGTACTGATCTTTAGATTTGTGATACCATGTTAAAGAGCACAATTGTCGGTACGAAAGGCAAATCCTTTTTTATTTACTTCTCTATAACCAAAATAAATCCTTTTTTATTTACTTCTCTATAACCAAAATATTTATATTATCATGCTTTAAATGTTTAAAGCATCAAGTATGGCAGAAGAAGTACACTACTTGTTGATGTAATGTACTTAACAATGACAATGGGCATGGTGGATATATTTATCTTTCCAGGCATTGATGTTTGAACTTGTTATTCCATTAATTTAGAATTTAATTAGACTGGATTTATAAAAGTCATGTAACTATATTGAATATTCCTTAGGAGATAGGACCGTATCTCATCATAAACATGGAATGCAACCCATTATTGCTGACTTGTCTTTCATCTTTTTGTCTATCTAACACTTTGAGCTATTGTTGAATACCTTATAAATGCTTCCTTGCTGTTATATGGTGGCAACAGGTTAGGAAATATGATAACTAATGGGACAGGTGATCTACAAACAGCAGGTGTAGTTCAAGTTCTGGATGTTGGGTGTGGTGTTGCAAGTTTCTCGGCTTTTTTGACTCCTTTAGATATCCAAACAATGTCTTTTGCTCCCAAGGATGGTCATGAAAATCAGATTCAGTTTGCTTTGGAACGAGGAATTGGTGCAATGATTGCTGTTCTGGCCACGAAACAGCTACCATTCCCTGGAAACTCATTTGAAATGGTCCATTGCTCCCGCTGCCGTGTTGATTGGCATCTCAATGGTAACCTTTGCCTCAAATGGCTCCATTCCTAGTATTTTGGTGCAGACATTGGTGATGCAATTTTCTTTGAATCAAGTTACTTGATATTATTGAAAACTTTTCAGTATTGACAAATATTATTTGATCTCTGATTACTTCAATCAATATCAATGATTCCAAAGGAAATTAATGAATGCCATGCTATATGATAAAAGATAAAGTGTACAATTATTATACTTGATTATTGGGCATTATGATTTTCTGCTTGGCTATCTTCCTTTGAGCTACATATTAGTTAAGTTTTTTAAATAACCATTTAAGGTTTAAAAGCTGCAATGGTTGATTGTCTTTGAAATATTCATAAATAGGTTAAAACTGCAATGGTTGATTGTCTTTGAAATATTCATAAATAGAAGAAGTACTCACAGGCTGATTATTGCCTTTCTTTTCCTTAAAACACATTGCTATTCTTGTCTAAGTTTAATGTTGCTAAGATTGTTGATCCATTAAAACCTTTACAATTTTCAAGTTGTTGTCACCTCCTTGGTCTTTACCTTTCTTCAGCATCCTTATATGCAACATCGACATATAAAATTCGAATGTAGATGCTATTTTTGATGCTCGATGAAGGTTGAGAAGATCTTTTTTTTCATTTTTTTTCTTGAATGATAAAACTGGTGGTATTAAGGTTTTACAAGAACTAATATCTCATTCATCATATACTAGTTGTTTGTTCATTGACATCATCCTAGACAGAAGGGTGAGTTGTCTTCAGCTCGATTCTGTTAATGCCTTGGATGCTGCAATTTTCTTAGCCCAATGTATTGAGGGTCTAGCATTTCACAATTCCACGCAGCTTTGTACCAACTAGCTGATTTCTAATAATGTGTGTTGCATGCTTTGCTTTTGGTTCTACAGATGGTATCTTACTGAAAGAATTGGACCGCCTTTTGAGGCCTAATGGCTATTTTGTATACTCAGCCCCACCGGCTTATAGAAAGGATAAAGATTACCTAATGATATGGGACACATTGATGAATTTGACAACAGCAATGTGCTGGAAGTTCATTGCTCGACAGGTACAAACTGCTATTTGGCAGAAACCAGCGAGCCACAAGTGCCAACTGGAGAACTCTGAAAATAAGATATTAGATATATGTGATGATGTGGATAATTTGGAAGACACTTGGGGAAAACAACTAAGAAACTGTGTGAAGTTAATTCCAGAACCTGAAGATATTCAGCAGCTCCCTCCAAGGCCAGAGCGTCTCTTAGCATATTCTACGTCTCTCAAAAAAATTGGTAAGTTTTTTCTTTGATTATACTATCATTTCTTGATACAATCAGAATGCACTTATGATATATTTTGTTTTCTATTAGTTTATAACTTCCTAACTACATGAATTAATTGGTTCTTGAGGCCGCAATTCTGAATGCATATTCTTAAAGTTGTATGGGGATAGACTAGTGGACTGACAAGTGAAAGCAAGTAAATCGACTCAGAATACACAAATAAGAAATCCTCTCTTTCCAAGATGTAAATATCTATGCTATCCAAAAACCCTACTTGGGGCTATTACGTTAATGCCATGGAGTACTACAGAGAACAAGTCAGTAAAGTGGAGGATGCTCCATTGCTATTTCCTGCTTGGTCTGTCAACACAAGGCATTTAAGA